AATGGAAATAATAGAAATTTTAGCACGCCCTGTATGATATGGAGTCGATTTCTTGGTGTTATTTGAATATTTAGAGTTTGTCTAAACTATCATCGAAATATCAACTTTTCATGAATTGGGAGTACTGATGTACTCAATTTCAATTAAGGCTATGTTTTGAACCATATTTAGTACAATTTATTTGTTATCTCGAAAACAGATAAAGATAGGTATAGGGCATTAATGACAAACAAGAAGTGGCAACGGCGCAGTGCTGAAAATATTTTACATCGATAGAACAGGTAAGGAAATGTGAGAGGTGAAATTTTCAAAAAAATCATGCTTTGAGTTTTCCAGAAACGTCTAACCTACCATCGACCGTGAGTCACGCTGTATAAGTAATGTATAAATAAAAACATACAGATTATAAAAGTTCGATAACGTTATTCAGTTGTCAAAGTAATCAAGTCATGGAAGACTCACGTAAGTGTTTCTGATATTCATCTACAGAGTAGAAACAATGTTTCAAAAAATGCTTTTTCAGAGCTTTCTTGAACATGGACAAACTAAGATTTTTATACTCCTTGGGTAGGTTATTATAAAGCTTATAATCAAGATTATTTTTTTGAGGTTTATTCAATCGAAAATAATTCGTTCGAATTTTATCAGCATGCCTGGTATTATAAGTGTGAATATCCGACTGTTTTAAGAGACAGTTCGACTTCTGCTTTATTTCAATAAGCGCATTGAACAAATATATACTTGGTAAAGGCATTATTTTCATCTGAATAAATATGGGTTTGCAATGATCTCTAAAACCGGCATATGCAATAATTCTCATTGCTTTTTTTTGTAGTTTGAAAATTTTTTCAGCACCAGTAGAATTACCCCAAAGAAGGNCTACTGAAAGAGTAGGTTCTAGTGGAATGCTGATAAACTTCTCATTCAGATGATCAACTACTGGGCGAAGCTTATGTAATCTGTCATGTCCTGGAGTATTACGTGGGACATGTTTAGAGTTATCGTTGAAATGTATAAAACGTCTGATCTTTTCGAATTTGTTCAGAGGCATTACATTTCTCACAAGATCATAGCCTATCTCACTGCTCCAATAAGATCTGACACTAGGCAAATGAACTATTGAAGTATAGAAGCAAATACCCATGAACTGCTTTATGTCTGTTACAGTAAACAGTTGTGAATTATTCGGATTTGTTTGAATAGCGAATAGATTGGTCTGTTCCACAATATTTTCTACAAAATCGTCACTGAAAAAATAAGAGAAGAAACTATAAGGGGTTTCCAAAGCCATAACTGCAGGTGGGAGTTCAGTTTCCCCATGAAATGCCAATTGCAGATCGTTCAAATGAATATTTCGATGTCTCCAAACCACTTTTCGCTTTTGCAACCTTTTTTTTACCGACTCATCCACCGAATGCTGCAGGACAGATTGATTTTGATCTTCTGGTACAAATTCTTCCTTCATCTCATCGGAAGGCTCCTGGGATAATGCTTCTTCAATATCTTCGTTTTGATCTACAAGTGCATTTATTATGTCTGTCTCACTTGGTGCATAATCTGGGTCAGCAACACTATCTGTATCCGAAAAGTCCAAGCCATCCTCGCTGTCTGAGCAATTCTCCCAAATATCAGCCAATTCTTCGTCAGTAAGCGGTTTTCTCCAATCCATGCTTATTATGAAAGTTTTACCTCTCAATGCACAGTGTTGCAATTCTGCAACAACAATTCATAATCAATTATCACTATCAATATATTATATTTGACATTCCTCATGAAATTATATCAAAAGTAAATACCTTATTGCACAAGAACACAATTTTCTTATGAAGTTCTCTTCAAAAGCACTATTATTATTCTTCCCTTTACTGCACCTATACTGTAACCGTCAAATGTCAACTGGTAACTGAAGTATAAATTCTAAAATCCTAAATACATTCCCTTTTATAATCGAAATATCCGACGGTATACTCCGAATTGGATCGTTGTAGATATGCAACGCTGTGCTAAGGCATCGTATAATAGCCAGTAACAATTTAAAAGCCTATGAAATCGGTTGTTGCAATATTGCAACAATATGCATTTAATATGTTCAATATGACATACCCAGCTGGGAGTGCTGTCCAAAGATATAACCAGTAATTTCGGCACTGGGATGATTGATTTGTATAAAGTTAATGGTATATGCAAGTGAAGGGAATAGTTTCCTTATTGTGTATTGTTAGGTGGCCGCAGCATATGAATCTGTTGATCTTCTGTGATATCATTTTGAACCACATAGCATCGAAGTTTCGGAGTTCCAGCATTTCCTCTCGTAGATAGAAGAGATCGCTTCTGATAAAAAGAAATATTTCAAATATATGATGGAATCGGCCGATACTTGATGAAAATCCATAACTAACGTATCCCAAAAAAACTTCATCGTGAGATTTTCACTAAATTGTTTTACAAAAACGCAACACGTGTTTCGCCATACAATGGCTTCATCTGGCGTGTCTTTCAACTAATTCTACACATTCAATACTAAATATATATATAGTTTATGGAGTACCTGAAATCAAAGTACCTGTAAACGAAGTACCTGAATTTTAAGTAGCTGATATTTTACCTGAGTTTCTAACGAATTAAATTACCTGCACTTATGTTCCATTTTCACATTTGAAAAAATATATTCAGTAACGGAGAGTTATTGAGTTCTAATTGATCATTCAGTAAATTACCCGAATTCCTGAATCTATTGATTTCTAAACATTCTAGATGATTAAGTTTCAAACTCTTCTCTTCTAAATGTAACACCTCGTACTCATGATTGAACTCGTGTCCTTCTGCTAAAAGATGGTTTGCAAATGTGGAATTGGTCTTTCTATTTACAAAACTACTCCTATGTTCTTTAATTCGTTGGAAAAATGTTCTT